CTAACTTGGACTGGTGATGTACAGCTACGAACGTCCACTGACCGAATTGACCTGAACGTAGGGGGATGTTCTTCATGTCTTGCACAGGACAGGTCTGTTCGGCGCACTGGGGATAGATAGGGTCCATCCAAGCATCCCGACGGACGCCTCGCTCACATTCGCTAAGCATTTCTGCTTGATGTCACGCTTGTCGAAGGAGTCACTCTTCATTTTGTTGGAAAAAGACGCTTGTCATGTCAATCCTGGCGGGCGAAGGCCAATTAGCTTCATAAGCATGCCGTGTAAGGTGACGGACCGCCTTCTGAAACATGCCATTCCAAATCACCTGACCGCAGGCGATCCCAAACACAACACGGATTCCTCCCAAACCGTCATGGCGTGATGAAGCTGTTTGTATTTTGTGTCAAATTGCTCCGTGTCGAAGACGAAAGACTCATATCGGGTGCCGCATTTTTTGCTTTCTGCTTTATAAAACCTCGCATCTCCCGTGATCGTAGAATAAATTTTACGTTGGATCAAGACAATCCCATCAGGTGGAGCATTTCGGGTGACACTCTGATCAACCTGTCCTTCTTCTGGAGCCTCTCAGGGCCCCGTTTCAGAACCACCGCTCTTTGTGGCGTACGTTGACAAACTTCGGGATCTGCTTTTTAGTTCATGTATTATTCTCACAGACGACAGTGCCGGCGCCAGCCAAATGGGTGTTGATGCCGCCGTGCCATAGCCACTGGGCTGGCACCTTCCTTGGAATAATCGCATGGTCTTCCAGACATTCAGTTGGGCCCACGTCATGCTGTTTCTTGGATATGTTAAGCAAGTTGTCTACTCAGTGCGCAAATGCGATGCACCGGTGATCTAGCGTGATCTAGCGAGCGGCCACGAAGGCTGTTGCTTCAAATCCCTCGAATGCTCGAACTCTTTCTTCCACAGTATTGTCATATTCAAGGAGACGTAATACTTACTTACGCTTTCTATAGACAAGCCTATGGACAAGCCACCGTTAGCACGACCAATGCTCGGCGGTGCTTAGATGGAACCGGGACAACAACCGGAGGCAGTTTAATCTGCGCACCGAATATATTTGGGAAGAAAAACTGTTGCTTGACAAAAATGCGTTCTTTAATCTCGAAGATATCACTACGTCCCCGGCGTGGATAAGCGGGGGAAAATAAAACCAGTTAGGGGGTAAAATGCCGCTCAGTATTTGCAAAATAGAATCGTTCTCTCGAAAGCTACGGCATTTTAAGGCTTGCCACTCCATAGTGTTGAATGTCTATGTATAATATATATGTTTCTATATTATTGAAGATCATCTACCATGGCGATTTATTTAAATGAGTGAATCCTCAATGTCAATAAACACCACCGACGGTGCATACGTTGCCTGTTTTCATAAAAAATCGCGAATTGTGGAAAACGTTGACTCACTTACAATTGACGAAGTTTTCAGATAGTCTTCTATCCGAAACAATTCCCTGAGCATTCTAGAAGCTACATGGAGATGCAAAATATGCGTAGGTGCATTTGTGTAGACAAATGTTGGTCGATGATTTCTGTTGCCAGTTAAAATTTCGTAGTGCTCATTAATTATTTCCGAAAAGTCGTGCACGTTTTCTGGAAAAGAGGAGAGTTTTCCATTGTGCTAGGAAGACCTCGAGGTTTATCGATTAGGAACATGAAACCTACGTCGATCATACCGGACAGCTGAACGAACCTACCTGACGCACACGACTAACATGCGGCTAAGGGTGCACGATGTCGGAGCGTGCCCATCCATCTGCACCGGAGAAAAGGCTCAAAATGGACGTCATGATATATTGAGATATACTGGTCGTTTTGAGGAGCATTTTCTTCGTGTGGGGCGTTCATTTGGCCGTTGACGTCCTGAAGTGAGAGGAAGATGCCATTTAGGTTATCAAAATATCACCAAAATGCGGACAGCCGACGAACTAGTCGAGATACTTACTCCAAAATGCACTTCAGCGACTATGGTTCGTAGATGTTCGTTCACACAATGCCATCTTCAGTGATTATTTCTCATGCCTACTTACTACACCTCTCGAGAACTACGGGGCTTACATGAAATGCATGAGGCCTCATTAATAGGCCAACTGTCCGAAGCTAATGGGTCACATGAAATCATCTTCGTCTCTTTCATCTAGATGGCGATCTACAGCGTTAGTCGTAGTTGTAAGACATTTGCTCACAGCTGTTGAGTAGCTCCTCTTTGGACCTGAATACACGGACACACAGAGACATCCGGGACACACTGTTCTGGGACTCTGTGCTTCGGTCCAGGTCAACACCATAAGATACCCTCATTGAGGACCGGGTAGCAAGCACACCTTTGCGTTTTCTGGATGGGCCCGGAGCTAAGAATCAAAAGAAATTTATTTCCATGTGGACTCACATTTGGGATAAGCCTGAAGAGCACCACCACACAGCGGGCAAGGTTCGCTATTGCAACAGTCGGCGTGATGTGATACGTGATTCGTTGCACCATAGCGGTCACTGGTATAAGTCGGCCGGTCGCAGATTACACAAAAGCCCAAGTCTGCGTTCCTAGACCACCATCTGGGTTGAAGTGCAATATCCTCAACCACCAACAACAGGCCGTCACTAGCACACTTTGAGCCTTGGCGCCGCAGGATTTGCCCCTGAACAACAATCACTTAAAGATAGCTGTGGACTTCCTGGGTTCCAGCCTCTGAAGCTTACCCATCGCTCGGTTCAGTTGTTTACGAAGGCCGTCAAAAGTTGTCGGTGGTTGTTTGGGAACAAGTGTAAGGGGAACATGTTGTTCCGGTAGTTGTACTGCGACAGCCAAAGTTGGTGGATTGAGAAGCAAGCTAAGAAACGGTCGATGATGAATAGTTCTAACTTCTCGGAACGGACTGATTTTGAAATACAGAGAACAGGTGTATGCAGGGGAGCCACATCGCCTTGTAGAAAAAGCATGTGCATTCTCCAGCACAGGTGTCGACAGTCTGGGGGCGCCTTAATGTTTGCACCACAAACTATAAGTTGGTTTACGTAGCCTGACCTCACCTTTTTTGTTCAAACACTTTCATACGGCAGCCTCGGCGGTCACGGTCCAAAGTGCTCCAAAACGAGAGAGTATGTTGTCATTCGACAGACCACCTTAAGAACGTGGGCATCACCCTCCAGAATTGCCGTCTGTCGCAGTGTCCCAATGTATGCATTTCGAATTCCCGCCTGAGCCAGGCGGTGTCCTGGGACACCTTCTGAATTGCCTGCTCTAACGTGTCGGAGTAGTGCACACAGTCTCTAAGGCGGCTGTTCGCATTCTCCACACGGGTGTTCGTCACATTACCGAAATGAACCATTCCGGACTGGGCGTGAATAGCCCATTTTCGGGTTATCTACAACCAGCGGGCAGTAAGATAGAAAACAAATCGTGGATCGGTGCGGCGCAAAAGCTGAAGATCTTGTGGGAATCCGTGTACTTGTAATACGATGAAGAAAAAACCCAATGTACAGCGTTTTCCAGGCAAGCCATGCGGTGAAACATGTGCCGGCTGTTTGTAGAATGTTTCTATGACCAAAATACATGGATACTAAATGATGCATACGTGCTTCCTGATAGCTTTGCGGACATGAAAATATCAAAGCATCACGTCACGGCCGAACACGACCCTTGCTTCACGCATTTGCGCCGCAAACTTGTCCATCACAAAAGGCTTAACCGGCTAAGTTTCATCGAAACCTGCCTTGAATAAATCGAAAAGTTTACAAACGGGATCAAACTGTTCACTCTCCACGAATGTTTACATAACCGGATGTCCGGTTCTCATGCCGTCCGTTATCAAGAGGGTGTACAGCTTATGTCTACATGCCGAATATTGAGTGTTTTTTAAAACTTACCCAAGGCGGTTTATTGCATGCGTTCCGTCTACATTCACTGCATTTGAAAAGCGTCGGAACAACGCTATCTGCTGCCATCGGGAGAAACATATGTGACTATAGTGACCTTCCTCTTCCTGACAAACAGGGAAGCGTCCGGTCTCCCGAAGTTTTGCCAGGACCAAGGGCGTATCATCTGCTACACTAAAACCCAACTATGCAGCACCTACTCAACAAAGCCGGTCGGCACTTCCGGCGGTAGTTGTTTATATACGGAGTGGTAAGAATCTTGCCGAATTCATCCGTCACAAACTGCCGCATCTCACACAAGGGCGTTCCATATTTCAGGGGGCCTTGCAGGCACCCAACTCGTCTTCGGTTAGCCGTAGTTTAGTGGTAGCCGGTCGTACGGATAATTTGGCAACTTGTGGTTTTGTTTCAGAAGAGAAGAGGTGATTGCCAGTTGGTTCCCTTGTCCCCGTAGACAAAACCACACTGGAAAAACTGGTGCTTCACGTACTTATTTTATTAGAAAATACGCTCAGCTTACTAGCTTATTCGGATTCCCCGACTTTCTGTTGGCCTTGGAGGTCGCCTGCTGCATTTGTAGAACATCCATTCGTGACGCAAAACAGCGTTGGTGCTTCGATTGCTGGATGGACGCACAAATACCATAGAGTTATCCCTCATGTATTGATTTAAGGCCTCCTCAAATGCCGTGAAGGATGGAGACGATACAGCCACAAATTTCTCAACAAACGCTGGTGAAGCCACTTCCGATGCACGAAGATCAATATAACAAATCGCAATAAGTGATGGCAGATGAGGGTAATGTTCGGACTGAGCACATATGCAAAGAAGTGCGATATTTTGAGTTATGGTTTTTATTCGCCCACAGGGGTATTGCAGATAAATGCATTGTGCTTCGAAGGCGCGCCGGAAAAAGCCGATCGGGTGAAATCAACTCAATGGAATCTTTTTCACACTGACTCTTCCCAATGACCGCCATAATCTCTTAAGTTACTCACCACAGCCCATGAGGGAGTTCAATTCCAAAACAGGCTTTCTGCTGTAGTTCTGGTTACATCAGCTACTCAGTTCATCCAGGCACTTCAATTCTGTTTCTGACCTTTGTTATGCATGGTGAAAAGAGACCAGCGACCAAAAAGGATTTGGGCATCTGGGTCTCCTCAATCCCGTCCTTCTCACTGCATCATGAGAAATCGGCCCAAAAGGCATTCGCCGTTTTACGGATGATCGGACGCACCTTCTCCCGTAGTATATGCATGGACGTCCAAATACTTTATGGGGCCTACGTCAGACCGCTCCTGGAGTACGCCAACCAAGTTGTCTACTCAGGACGCACGAAGGACATCACCCTCATTGAGCGTGCCCGGCGGGCCGCTACGAGAATGTTTGCCTGCCGCAACTCCGTGGACTGCGAAACGCGTCTCGCGATGCTTGATCCCTTTCCCCTGGAGTACCGTCGCCTCCGAGGGGGCCTAATTCCTACTTATGCCCTGTTTGAACAAAGCTTGGCAAACAAGTTTTTCACCGTTGACCCAGCAAACACACGGCGGGGACATAATAAGAAAATTTTCAAGCTCAGAGCACACACATTCATTAGACAAAATATTTTCTCATTTCGGGCAGTAGCTGCGTGGAATAACCTTCCTCTGACGGTTGTCCACGCATCCTCTAGAACCCATTTTAAAGCACTATTAGACATTTATTTATGCGAATCCTCGCGCTGGCAAGCATACTGCCCCGCGCTGAGAACATAAAGAGCAGTGCTACACCCTTTTTTCACTTGTGCCTTTCAGGTGAACGACAGCCACTGACCGGCAAGAACAAAAGCGACCCCGGAATCTTGGGCAAAAGCCCAGTAAACACGTCACGCCGCACCACCGGTGGCAAGAGGTGGGTGTTACGCTTGCCACCGATGGCTAAAAGCGGCCAAAGGTGGCAACCCAAAAATTTCATGAGATATTTAATCGGTGGTGCATTCAAACAAATCGGTTCCAAAAATTTCTTCTTAAATAGAGCTCCAGTGTCCAGAGAACCGTGTTACATTTGTTTTCAGAAGGCTTTTATGCAACAAATTCTATGTCTGGCTTGTATTCACAAACAAAATCAGTAACACAGCTGGCCACCTTTGGTCACCGTTAGCCACCGGTGGCACTGTGTTTACTGGGAGCCTAGATCCTGTGTATCAATCCGTGAATCCGTGAATCCGTGACCTGAATACACACTAATCGTGTGACCTTGAATTCTGCGAATAGACAGTGTCATTTGTCGGGTCCGCACTCACGTGTTTTCCGGAGGAAGGATCGGCTCCCACGTACCTTTCGCAATGGGCCGTAAAAAGTAGTTGTATCACTTTATTTCCATCTAATCTCACTGCAGGTCAAAGCGGAAACCACCAGTGAGTGCGACCGAGGATATCTACCATAAACGGGTCAAACATGAGTCACCGGAAAGTTTTGAACCGAAGTCTGCCGACATTATACTACCCTGTTTGAAGGATGCGTCACCAGTACCGGTCATCATTCCCAAGGAAGATACAGAGGAAACCTTTGTTCGACTCCCGTTAATTCACTCTTGTATAGCCAGTCTTTCTGTTTGTACGGAACTTCGTAAACCCGTCTTGTTGGCTGGTCCTGTGGGTTGTGGAAAGACGCGCTGTATCGACTTTGTGGCTTGTTTACAGAAAGCTTCCGTCTGTCGCGTGCAAATCAGTGAGCAAACAGATTCCAAGGTAATTTTGCTTGACTTTTTAAACGACTTATTTCACGTTTCTGGTTTGAAACTCAGTGGGTTGTTGTTACTCCTAATGCTTGGTGACCTACGTGCACTAATGAATCCAGTGGTTAATTTTATAACTTTGGTCGTAAGCCACGCCTAGCCTTGTTAATGCAACGCTGACAAATTGGGTGGACAAAGAATACCTACGAAATGTAGTCGAGAACATCACTGGATTTTCAGCTCCAAATGAGTATTTCGCTCACAATCGGTGGAACCTTGGTGTAGGTTATCACTAGTGCAGCGTCGAAGTCCATAATGATGACATCGAGATATTTGCTCAGACCCTGGGCTGCAACGATTGCCTCGGCGTGTCATCCAGGTTTAGATGAGGTAACCTGATTGTTGTATGAGGCTGTGGCCCGGTATAACTAATCCACTGGATAAGGGTTTGGTTGCGGTGACCATTCAGTACAAACAAAAGGGGGCCCAGTGCTCAACCTTAAAGAAGATTTAGTCGGACGCTCTATGACAAGCCCCAACTTGTCTTCTACGGACTTGAACAAACTGTAAAAGCCCAGATTCGAGCGAACCCAGGCTCCTTAATGGACTTTTTATCACATCTGTTCCATACTCATCCCGGAATTCAGGGCGGACATTACAATCAGCAGCAAAACCTTCGAGGAACACTAGCGCTCCATTGCCTGACTCAGTCACCGCTCAGTGGGACTGTTCTTGGCATGCCTTCAAGCCAATGAGCTTCTGGTCAAATCTGATGGTGCGTACCCAAATGAAATATTGAAACAATATTGCAACCAAACACTAGCTCCGCCTGATGCAGCTACATCCTCATTATCAGAGACAGCAGCATCAGTTTGAACATCGATGGCTTGCCGTTCAACCAGAAAGTTTAATTAGTTTTATTTAAAGCCCTAGAACGGAAAGTGTGGATGAAGGAGAGGACCTGGTGTTGGCTATCGCAAGCATTACGAGGTGCCTACAGCTTCGTGCGCTCAGTAAGGTGGTCTGGATAGAAAGGCCATCGACACCGATCAGGCGCCATTGCAATTTTTCCATTCAAGCGCAGGAGGAGTCACTGACACCCCATCCTGGAATGCGTACAACTCGAACAACGCAAACTCTTCATAATCTCTTTCACACCCTTCTTCTGCGTCATACGTTGCCCACCTCGTGGTTTAAGCGATTGTGAAAAAGGTATGGAGAACAACATTCGTCTTGGCAGACCGCTTCGACATGCGCCGCACATGGTCGAGCCACTGTGGTTGATGGTACGAGGTTTTCCGCGATTGAAGTACCTTCGGCACAACCAAACACTCCTATTCTAATTATCTCCTTACGAATTCGTTGACGCTTCTGAGGTATCGGCGGTCAAAATCCTGAAGTCGCCTCACATCATCTGTCCTCAGACCAACCGTACAACAATAGAGCCATTACTGTAGACTGGTACACGCAATTCTTGAGCTCAAGTTATATGCCTTTTTGACGCCTTTGAGATTCAATCGGACTCCGTCAGATCTAATACGACTGCTGGGGTATGCGAAATTCCCCACAACCTCCGTTGATCCTCCTTGAATTGTAAAGGCTATTCTTGGGGGCGGATGGCTCGGTAGTTGGGGCGCGAATTTACTGACCGGAATGTACGTGGTTTGTACCCGACCTCTTCATCTGGACTTCTGTCTAGACCTGAGCAACCTGACAGTATCCCAGCCCTTGTGATTCTTTCGGATGGTCTGGTAGCTAGTTACCGGAAGAGTATCACAGCTGGACGGTTATTATTATTATTACTAATAATAATAATGTTTCAGAGATCGCATGCTATGAAACACGACTTTGCACTTTGGAGGTGCTAGGCGCATGCCGGAAGATGGTATGGTGGTGGTCAGTTTATTCAGCGATTATGATGTCTTCTGCGCATCAAGGTTCTCACCAGTGGACATCCTTGTCAGAGAGAGAAGCTTTTGGAGAGCTCCCCATGCACTCTCACTTTCGGGGTGTGTGAATATGGGGATCGGATTATGTTCACAACTTTCTGGGGCAAGTGCGCAAGTATTGTTAACAGCACCGACTGGTCGACAGAATCGAATGCACCCTTGAAGTCAAGGAGCACCTAAATTGTGGGTTGCCTGTACATGTGGCGTTGCTCTTTGAATCGAACCACCCTTGAAGTCAAGGAAACCCCATCTAATGATGGGTTAAGCTGTGTCTGCTCAGACCAGGAGGCTTGGTGAACCTAAAAAGTCGAAGAAATGGAAGGTGCAAAAATGTTGGAAACGTACGCAGGCTGTTACACTTGATTCGTTTGAATGGTCTTTGGAATCCTCTTGACAGTGAAACCACCAAGGATCATAGTAGCTGTCCGATATCCATCAGCTAAGTACGTTTGCAGTGTCGGGTAGCATGCTTTGGACAACATTCTAGTTCGTCACGTACCATTTCCAGCCCGGAATGTCGACCTTTGACAGTACTGGGCTGGAGACACTCAGCTATATGGCGTACATGACGTCTCTTTACATCCAGATTGATCGAGTGTGCAGTATAGGCACCTCAGAAGTTTGTACTCGGTTACGTCTTCCTTCCTGCCTCACGTTTTTCTTTGCATTGTAAGATTCTATTCAAATCAATTGGTACTACTGATTTGATGTCACTGATGATGTTGATGCTACCATTGACTTGTGATGAACTAAGAAATTTGGAAGCCGTCTAGTGAATGCGACAACCGTGATATTGTGGCTCTACTTGGTGTGTAACTGGAACATCTATCAGTGTCGTTAACGATTGAGTCCCAATTCAGAGAGGTGGCGGTTTTCAAGCCATTTGAGGAACGGCTTAAGGATTATATTCCTTGTTGACTCTATCATCCGATATCAAAATTTGGGTCGTTTTAATCCACTACATGGTTGCAAGGAAAGCTCTGTGGAATAAGCGATTCTGTGACGTGCGAAACCCGTAGCTTAATCAGTGTGTCTTACAATTGGATTATTCTATTCACCGAGGGTGTGTTCCCTTCAACGCTATCAGCCATATAATATAATAGTTAAGCTGTAAGACTGTCGATGCCTAACTGACATGTCACCCGAAGGATGCACGAGGTTGCTCAAGCTTAGACAGGAAGAGTCGAGATGTCGGGGTCGGGTTCGAACCACGAACCTTCAGGTCAGTAAGTTCGCCCAATAGTCTAAATTGAATTTGCGATTTCTGACAATTGCTTAAAGGCTATTCTAATGGCTGACTTTCGGAGCTGGAGTTAGTTCGACGAATGTCACTGCGACCAGAGGTCGAACGTATCGTTGGAGCTCTTAGACCTGCAGACCGGACAAGCTGGATCTTCACCTTTTGCTGCCATTTGCGCTGGTTCGTCAGCCTCCAGCGGACACGGTGATCCTACGGCGGAACTCCGATGGAAAGCTTATATTAACTAGACCCTTCCTAGCTTTCTGAAGTTATTAGCCAGCTAGGCCTGCGATGATGCTAGGAGGAACCATCGTCGTACCAACCTAATTGGCGTAGAATACTGAGTGTTTCGATGTGCCAAGCTCGCAGCTGTGCTAGAAGTGACTCAATGGTCACCATGTCGACGGGCTCAAGGGAAACTGTAGCTAACTACGGAACACCATCCGGGTGTATAACGGGTGGGCTTATTAGTGATTCAGCCCTCCAGTATATCCCAACCGGACACCAATGGGTTCAACTGTCTAGATATTTCTAACATTAATTCACTCGCGAAAACATTGACCGAAAATGTTGGCCGAACACCTCGAAGAAGAAGCTACCTGACCTTCTGCAACCCAGCCTGTGGAGATAGTGCATACAGGCGAATGAAATGTAAACCCTAATCGCCCGTCGGAAGAAGAAATGAAGTACGGAATATGGATACTGAAAGGTGAGAAGGCACTAGGACCGGAAGTTCTTTATCTAGCCCTCTTCAAAGAAGGCGGAGAACCCCTGGTAACCCGTCTGACAAAATTCAGTAGTTAGAGCGTGAGTTTACTGACTGGAAGGTCCATGGTTCGAACTCGACTTCTGAATTTCGATTTCCCCTGTCTAGGCTTGTGAAACCTGGAAGTATCCCAGACCTCTTGCTTCCTTTGGGTGACATGGCAAATAGGCACCGGAGGAGTGTTACCGCTGAACGATATTTGGGACGAAGACAAAGTGCTTGCAGAATGGGACATGTCGACAATTATTCCTGTCTTCAAAAAGCGTACGCGGGCGCTGTGTGAAAACCACTGTGGCATCAGTCTGGTAGCTGTGGCATCGAAGTCTTCTCTCGTCTTATCCTTTCAAGGTTTATTGAACACAGGGAGAGAGGCAGATCCGCAAAGACCAAGTTGGGTTCCGTGCTGCAAGAGGATGAGTTGATCGTATGTTCACTCGCCTCTAATGCGCAGCTACCCACCCTACCTCCTCAAATCATCGGTGGACGAAATTGTGGTAGCTACAGCCACTGTCCGACGAATAAGCGGTTCTTACAGCTGATAATAATAATAATAATAATAGTAATAATGAATGCCTTGAATATTCTGAAGGCCTCATGATCCGTGGTTCGAACCTGACCTCTACCTCTCGACTTCCCCTGTGTAGGCTTGGATGACCTGGCAGTATCCCAGCCCTCGTGCCTACGTGTGGCATGGCAGCTAGGCACCGAAAGGATGCTACAGCTGAACAATTATTTTTATTTTTTTATTATTCTGAAGTGCTGAGGCTACAGCGGTACCGGAAGTGACTTTCTGGGACCATCAGTACATCAAGCTGAATGGTGGCGAGTGCCATGTGTGTGCCCAGGGTGCACCCGATTAGAAATGCGGGAATCCAAATAACCGTCTGCACATACCGTGGTTAGCGACTGCCCAGTTATTTTCGCAACCTTAACTTGAAGAAACTTAGGTGGTTCTTCACCAAAAGGATCTGGCTTGGGTTGTCAGGTTTTCGTGTTTTCACTGCCTTGTCGGATTGATTTTGTATACGTTGATATATATTGCACTATATTGTTTCGAATTGCACTTAAATGCATTCTGTTGTATTCTATTTGTCCATTTTGTGTATGCCTCTGCAAATGGTCCACTCTAACATAGTGTACATTTCTGAGTGTTAAGCCTGCAATGGCAACATGGATGCTCTATGTGACTCGTTGTGAAGACGGATAAATGATGGCTAGCCGTACGACCGTGCCCAAAATGCGCCTGTTAAGTGTTACGGGCCACCAGACGACCCTTTCCATGCATTTCGAGGCTAAATCGTTTAGCTTTATTCGTTTGAAGTAGGATTATGAGTAATTAGGCGGGCGTATTGATGACTTTATACCCTTTGGCTCTCTCACCCCGGGTTTAACATCTAGTAAAGAACTCTCACGTGAATATGCATGCCTCGGCGTAAACCACATGTGGCATTACAAATAATGCGCAGGCTTTCGTCGGCGTATTTCGATGCTATCGGCCCATCCAAAAATTCATGTCAACCCTTATATATATGTTTGTATATTTACGTATATAATGGTTTTCTAGATGCTGATTCTCCCTTCACATATATAAAATTCGTAAACCCAGTATGCCCACAGTTAACAGTAAAATATCTCGATTTCCTTGCTTGTTTGATATCAAACAGAGTCTTTTGGGAGCCTACTGTTGTACGGAGACACCCGGTCAATTTGTTTGGCGACCGGGTCCTTTACTAACTTCTTTAACGCAAGGATCTTGGCTGGTACTCGAAGATGTGGACCGTGGACCCGCGGACTTGCAGATGTTGCTCGCTCCGTTATTTAAGCCCAATCATTCATCGAGTCATCGTCTCGACCTCATTGATCCCACCACGGGTCTGCCTGTTGATCAACACCGAAACTTCCGCATTCTAATGACGCGTCGGCTTGTTCTCAGTCGCACTAATGAATGGCGAATGGAATGCGACAATCCCTGCGCGGAGTTTATTGACCGACACTGTTCAGTCATCATGTTGCCTTCTCTCACTGATGACAGTCTACGAAAAGTATGTGTCTACTATTCCATTTTTTCGAACACCCAAATTCACCTTTCTACGCTGTTCCGAAATCGAGTCAGTCAACCAAAACTAGCTTAGCCGCTTTCTGGCGACCTTTTTAGGAAGGAAACTTTCGCTCATAAACAACGCGGTATCATTTCTTCCTTTCTAGGACAGTCACCCTTCTCCTGAAAACAAACAAAGCACCTCACCGTCCTAGTTATGTTGATGCTTAGTCTCTACGAAGTACGCCTCTGACCCAGGGCATATTTCTCCTTGTTAGCTAATCTGGTTTGGGCTCAGGTTAGCTGAGAACTGACCGGAAGGTCCGTGCTCTAAATCTCTGCATCTCGACTGCTCCTGTCTAGGCTTGGACAATCTGAAAATCTCAGCCCTTATCCCTCCTTCGGGTGACGTGGTAGGTACACACCGAAAATGTATCACGGATGAACGATTATTTCCGTTATTAATCCAGTTTATGTACCCTGCTCTGTACTTTTCGTTCTGTGTTTGTCTGTGGTGTATAACATGTGTGAGATGTGAATACTCACCAGGCAAAAGAACTGAATCCATCTGAATGGCCAGGAGGTTGGTTCTCAAATCTGTGATATCGTATGTGCTTGTAGGCAAGAGCGGTAGTATACCACGATTAATTCCGGTATTTTGTTTCAGTTGGTTAGCCGACTCCACCCCTCACTCCACACGTTGCTTGACCGCGTTTTAACTATTTATGGGTGTGTTCGGCAAGATCTGGAGTCCAGTTCAGCATTCACTGGGTCGCGCACCATTTCACCACGGGATTTGTTGAAATTCTGTGCTCGAATATCTCGACCTTCTGTTGAATCTCTCCAGTCTGACTCCTTGCTGTTGCATGCAGTTGACTGCTTCGTAGCTTGTGTGTCCGACCCAAGCCGTTTGCTTCAGCTGGCTTCTAAAATAGCCGGAGAGCTCAATCTGACTGCGGAGAAGGTTAGTCTCGTGTGCCTATCATGTTTCTCCTCTGTTAAACTGCTCTGTTCTGTTGAATTTTTTTCATGTGAACGTTCGTTTTCAGCAACAAGCGTTTTTCCTAGGTAGTCATATAGTTCAATGGGGCCTCTCCGCTTTCCCATGACATTATTTAAAAATCGCGTCATGTACCATGTGATTAGGTGGTACGGTTAGATTTTTACGTATGGCACCGTTTTGATATCATGATATGTCATGCATGATGTACTATCTGACTGACAAGGCACGCAAGTTAGGGGTTTTCTTAACCCCTTCTTCACAATGTCGCGTCTAAACGTGACCGACGTTTCCATACTGGCGCTAACTTCAAAACCACAAGCGTTACTCATGTGCTACAAAGATTCGAACAGAGAAAATCACTACTGTTTTTATTTCCCTGAATTCAATGAATTCCTCGCTGTTGAGACGTTGATCATCGCAGAATGCTCAGAATTGCCCATATATCTTACACCTCTGGTTCACTAGGTAGTCAGTGGAAACGGATGAGAGGCACCGAAGGTTGGACTAGTCGGTTCGTTCATTTTTGCCGAACTGCTGTTAACTTGCGCCCGAGCACATATTTCGTAACCTGAACGGTTTGGAGAAATAACCGCTGACCTAGTTGCTGCTTCAACTCGTCAGTTTTATGGGGTTTGGATGCATTGCGTGGATGTACTGAGCTGAGAGTGCTTGAAATCCAACCGGACTCTGTCGAAGACGGACTATTAAGACACACACACATTGTTGGTAGTGTGAGGAGTTGGGATTTTTGTGGGATTTCGTCCTGTAAGTGAAGCCAGTCTATGCTGAAAAGCCGAGAAGCACTGTACAGCTGTTTCATCCTTATTGGGAATCATCAGCAGTGCGCATCTCACGAAACTCCGAAGAGTCTCGAACCCGCGACCTCCCGGCTAGTAGTTTGGACACTTAACCGTTCGGCCACGAGTGGCTGATCAGCAGTGTGATTAACTCGCACTTAGACAGGATATAGCGCCGCTCATCCTTCAATCACGGGATCCACATCACGCGGTCACACGTGTTGACTGGCTCCTCGAGCAACGACTTCTCAGATAGAAGTTTCACACATCGGGTGAAGTTTATTCTTCCACTGAGCTACCTATATATCGTTCAGCATAGTTGACTTCACTTACAGGCCGAACTCCCACAAAAAACACACAGTTAGTGGTGAATCCCGTGCCACTGAACGTGAGACCGCTTTTAGAAGTGTGGTGCCTGTCCTACATCAAGCTCCCTGTCAGATTACCGATGCCGCTATCAGCGGATGGGGGGCTCATGGCTAACCTGTAGGACTGGTATCAGTCCTTTTGTACAACGATCCCAGCAGCTACCGTGTATTTCTTGACCAGCTGTGATGGAAACTTCATTTGCCGCCTTGTCAACGCTTACTTAGGTTTTAAGATATTGGATGTTCGACAATCGTTGTCTCAGAACCATAGCTTGAGTGGGTGGGTGTCGGCGAATCCGTAATGAGGCAGTTAGAAGGCGCGTTTTCGGTTGTGCAACGGGTACTTCCATTGAAGAATGTGTCCAGCACCAGAAACTGCTTTGGCTGGGACATGTGTTGCGTATGTCGAACCATCGTTTACCAAAGAGAGCGCTGTTTTCCATGCCTAATTCAGAGTGGCTTAAACACAGAGGTGGCCAACCCTTGACTTGGCAGAGGAGTATGAAGGAGATCACGAAACGCTTGGGTGCTGTCGGTGCTACTCGCCTTCCAGGATGGGGACCGCGTGATCCTCACTGTGCCTGGTTGGAGACACTACAAGATATGACTGTCAACCGATGTCAGTGGCGTTCTTGTGGTCAGTTTCTATCCAGATCGCCCGAGTGAGTGTTTGGAGGCATAGGCACCTCGGAATGACTGTGGTAAGCTAGCACTAAGTCCCTTCCCCTTTCAACTTTACTCTTTTCTTTACAATAAGGCTTTCATATAAAAATCATGGTTGTACGGCAGTGAAGCATCGGTATTAAACACTGATGTCATGCTGTCGATGATGATGATTGGAGACACTACAAGATATGGCTGCCAACCAATGTCAGTGGCGTTCTTGTTGTCAGTTTCTATCCAGATTGCCTGAGTGAATGTCTGGAGGTGTAGGCACCTCGGAATGATTGTGGTAAGTTAGAACTATCTCTCCCCTGCCCACATTTACTCTTCTTTACAATAAGACTTTCAAATGAATCATGGTTGTACAGCAGTGAAGCATCGGTGTTGAACATTGATGTCATCTTGTCGATGATGATGATGATTTTGGGGATGTCATCCTAAACAAATAGCCTCATAACTTTTGAGATAGCTGATATACCAACTCCCACAGGAACGTATGGAAGTTACCAGACAAGAATAAGGGGAGGTGTGACCATCTAATGTGAATTAATTACTCACTAGCGCCTATGCGTAGTGACAGCTCATCATAGAACATGGAAGCCTTGTGACGCAACGAGACGACTGACGGCATTGTTTTCTGTGAAGGGTTCTTGTTGCTTGAATTTGATCAGTGGTAATTTGCTGAGTTCCATCAGTTGGGAGCAGAGTTGTTATCGTGACACTGGCTAATGACCCTTCAAGGTTGGACTCAAGTCTGTCGTCAAAATCTGTATAATAGTGGAGATAGAAAACATGGCCCCAACTGAAATCTTAGTGACTGCGGTTGCATGAAGTCCAACTTGTGTTTGAAAGGTGCTTGATCACTCTCATGAAAAGTACTCATCTTTTCCACCGAATTGTAAGTGAACCGATAAGTGACCTGACTGACTGATGCATAGGACAGTCGCTATTTATTGGCCCACTCAAACTGCACGGCATTGGAGCGTCGGTGTCAACACTGATGTTGCGGTCTCTGACGATGACGTTTCATTTAGACGGTCAACTATACCTGATTATCTGGTATTGGTCAGAGATCCGTACTCAGTGGAACTGTCGATTTAACCAAGCTGAGCTGTGTGTATCTGATATTACGTACCACAAAACACAAGGGTTTTGGCACCCTGCCTCTGGAAAAGTAGGGTGGTATGTGACTAATGTCAGCCTCTGGTTTATTTCTTGTGTTTACTACCGAACCAGAGCGTACAGCTTACCGACACCCGTCCTGGTAGTTCGTTTTTCAGAGCCCTTGAGGTCAAACCCGGGCGCTAAGTTGACCATGTCTGGCGCCTAGAGGCACTTCCAATTAAAAGAGCCCATCGTGTACTGAACAATACCTCCACATAACATGACCACCACTGCACTAATCTTCGAACAAAATATTGTTTCATCATTTCCAGGTTATGTTCATTCTCTACAAACGATCCGTTGATCTTCGGTTGGATCCAGACGGAGCATTGATGTATCTAGGACGAGCACAGCTTCCTTGTCATCGCACTGCAGAGTGGGAAGCACGGTTGGCGGGGTAGGTCGTTTTTCGGCACAATATTATGCGTTTTGTTGTATGAACGCTCTACTTTTCTTGCATTTTTTCTATTTTGAGCTTTCGGTCGTTCGCAATCATTCATTTGGTTATGATTGTCCTCATTTGAACACCATGTACCTCTAAACCATTTCAGTGGAGCAACTCTCAGCCAGTCGACCGGGGATGTTGTTTCTCCGTTCGCTTCAACGCACTTGGCTTGCACTCTGCTCGAGCGTCTTGCAGTAGCTGTTGAGCACAAAGAGCCAGTTCTTCTTGTCGGGGAGACGGGGACGGGAAAGACTTCAGCTATTCAACAGTTGGCACATCTTTGTGGCCGCCGTTTGCGCGTAATCAACTTGAATCAGCAATCAGACAGTGTTGATCTACTTGGCGGGTATGTTTCCTGTCCGCTAGCCACCTGTATTGTTTGGTAGTCCCTCCCGATGGACTTGAACATGTCAAGCATCATATCGTTGTGTGTAGTCGTGTCAACTCATTTTGGATGCCTCGCTCATACTATTCAACCATACACATCTCGCGAGTGAAGCTCAAACTAACGTTCGATAAAATATGGTGGTGATCGTCGAGTTGTTGTGCTACTTTAATGTGCTGATGAAGTGCAACGCAAGGGAATTACGAGAGCCAAGACTGGTTACCGAAGCCGGAGCAGGATCAGTCATGAAACTAGAGTCAGATTCAGATCACAGACTTTTCTGGAACACGTTTGCAACTTACCCATTTGGCTATATCAACCTCTAACTGACATTTGAACTACTAGTGCGGCACTCCAATCAAGAAGGAACGTTCGAAAAAGTTACTTTAGACAGCCTAGTCTGCTATCGTATATAGAGGTGGCAAACCGTCCAGAGAAGGTAATACCTTTTTCTCTATGTTCCCACGATACTTCCGTTTGGAAAGATGTCACAAATGCGGACCTGGTTTATATTACACGAACGCGAGTTTTCATGCGCGTCTGAGCAGCGTCGTCTGATGTTTCATTTCCTGCGTATCATTTTGGGACTAGGCAGACAAGGGAATAGCGTTCTGCTTTGATAGTCAGTTCCGAGTGTACTCTACTATTCAATGCTACATTATCTTATGTTTACATTTTATAGCTTCAAACCAGTAGATACACGCTCCCTTGTGAGGCCTGTGCGAGAGCGTTTCGAAGCACTGTTTTGTCGAACCTTCCGAATGGACAAAAACGTAGGATACCTGGAACATATCAATGTAAGTTGACGCTTTTTTTCATTAGTGCCAACACTTTTCACGTTATCGTCCCACTCCTCTGTTTCACCGGCATGTGTCCGTTTGCCTCCTGCCGTTTCTCTCACAGGAATACTTCAATTCAGGACAGTGGCGCGATCTGATAACCTTGATGCAGCACCCTACACGTTTGGCTGTCGAACGCCCTGCTGGTTCGGCTAACTTGTTGCATGAAGAATGGCTTGGGTTACTCGATCAGCTAAACCAATTGCAAAGACGTTTCGAAAATGCTGTCAAGACAAATCAGTCGGCCGTAGGTTTCGCCTTCATCGAGGGTGCTCTGGTTCGTGCTGTGCAAGATGGTGACTGGGTACTTTTGGATGAAATCAATCTGGCACCTGCGGAGATGTTGGACTGCTTGAGCGGGCTTCTGGATTCTGAGCAAGGGAGTGTGACACTAGTGGAACGCGGGTAAATTGTGCTTGTATACTCCGATTTTCATACCATGACTACCTAACTCAAAATTTTGTAAGTCAGTCAGTCGTAAGAATCGAAACCCATCAGCCTGTCGAATTTGACATTAACCTTGTGTAATTTCTTCCCTACAAAATGTCGGGCAGCGTACCTGGACGATCTAAATTTATCACACATTAAATTCAAATTTTGTTTCAGGTTCAAACCGCTTGCCTCCCCATGTCAGTCCTTTTATGGTTCAGGATAGATGCCAGGCCTTTCTATTCCAGATCGTTCTACTGCTTGGGTTGCGCTCACATCCTGCTGATGCACTCGAGTGAGGTGTGCTTAACTCAGATGCCAGGCCTTTCTATTCCAAATCGTTCTACTGCTTGGGTTGCGCACACATCCTTCTGATGCACTCGAGTGAGGTGTGCTTAACTTACAAAAACAGCCATCTAGGCTTTTCGCTGTTTGATCCCATCCATTATAATAGCATAGTAATGACCGCAGGTTAGCTGAAGACGGTCACACACCTGGATGGCTGGATGTGCTGCTCAGCAGTCTAGGTGAAGAGTAAAATTGTTCGTCACATATCGAGAATTCACGGATTAGTGTGGATTGAAAATTCAACATTGGTCAGGGTTTGTCATTGTGTTGATTGAGAACTAGAACAGGGACGAAATCTATTGGACGGCGAATTAACAGGGTAGTCCTCGACGTGGTCATTACAGTGAAGGTGGTTGGTAGACACTGCTGTAAGGTGTTCCCCTTCCCCTCTATTTCCAGCGACAAAACACCACTTAAACGCAATCCGGACTTCCACCTGTTCGCCGCAATGAACCCATCAACGGATGTGGGCAAACGTGAACTGCCTGTAGGACTGCGCAATCGTTTTACCGAAATCTACGTTCCTGAACTGGACCCTGGAGTAAATGACTCACAACTCAATCCTATTCGTGCCACAGACCGTGAAGATTTGGCTATTCTAGTCAGGGCGTACTTGTTGCCGCTCAATCCGTCGCCTACACAAGTTACGACAGTTGTACGGCTATACGCTGCTTTGAGACAAGCGGCTGTCGAAGGTCTGGTGGATGGAGTTGGCCAAAAACCCCACTTTAGGTAAGCGATTAGCGTTCATTTATCACTTTTTTGTAGTTCGGATACTGTTCATCATTAGATTGTGTATTCGACCGCCCCTCTATTTTTCAAAATACTGTTTACAGCAGACATATCTGGTGATTTTGTGATGTACTTGTTAGCGGGAATGCACCTTCATACGTTTATGTTAGTGTATTTCGTACTAACTTGTGTTTTTTCACCCTACTTTAGTCTCCGTACCTTGTGCCGCGCTTTGGTCGAAGCTGGTCGTGGATATCACGGGAGCACCATTCGTTCTCTGTACGAGGTAGGCTGCGATTGATCGGACCCACCATTCGCTCTACTTGAGTTTGGTTAGGTTGTCCATCATTTCTGTACGATGACCAGCCTTATTGGTAAAACGATTCATGTAGTTTCTGGCACAGTCTCGTTCAGAGTGCTTTTTTGGGGCATCGTTGCATCCTTCTAGTGTTTTTCACACCTTTTAACGCGTTTCGTATCACTGGTTGGAGTGGTGTCACAGATAAAAATGAGACATTCAAAATGAATTTCACCAGTCGGAATTTATACAGGATGAGCTCTGTTGTGTTGTAGACGCAGGACCCAGTTAGCCCATGAATCTGTTGATAACTGGTGATCATGGAGGCTAGCATAAGCTAATTCATGCTGTTGCTGCGTCAGACACTACTGTATTCCATCCGTCAACGATTGTCACCTCGGCTTGATCGTGTGTTCCTGAAAATCAATGCTCCTTTTCAATCCGAATCAGTGTATCCCGTTTTATCCCACTTTTTATGTGGATAAAAGTTTGGTCTTCGTCCTTGGGTCGACATACTCTTCATGTCTACGTTGAGGTCCCATAATTTGTGAAGAGCTTCCTTTGTGATGGTGACATCAGGGGGCTCAATTATCGTTCTACGTCAAAGGCGTAGACTCCTCTGTTTCTGTGTTTTCTCTAGGCTTCTTGGAAATATTTGCTACAAAACTAAGAATATCTTCCGTTCTCTTTGCTTCTCACTCAGTTTACAACATCTGTTGCCAGGTTTTCATTATACGGTGATGAAGCACTTGTATTGCTTTCTGTGATATTGATGTCCTTTTCTGTTCATTTACCCAGGGTCTGATATTTAGTTTCGGGTCTCAACTCAGTCGTGCCAGTCGACCTATACTGGATACGTTGGTGCGACGGTATCTGGCTTTGATACATGGAACCCGAGAGCAAAAACTGGACCATACTTCACTGTCCCATTTGTTATCCAGTCCACTCCCCATGCCTGCTCATCGATCAACCCTGAAAGACCAGTCTTCGGCAATGGACTATTTACCTGTTGAAGGTTATTGGGTTCCTCGTGGGCCAGGTGAACCACGACAAACTAGTCCCGATGCCCTGGTAGACGGCTCTTATGTGTTGACTCCTAGTGTGCGTGCTAATCTCAAGGATCTGGCCAGGGTTGTTGCAGCTGGGTAAGTCTGCCTGTTTCACTCTCACACTGCCCTTCTGTCCATAATTTCCAATGATATACAGGGGCGACCATTCAGGAAATGTGGTATTTGGTCACAGCTGACTGGGAGTCCCATTGCAGTTCCCTTTGAAAGGAGCTTTTTTAGACCAGCTGTCTTTTTTGGGCTGTTTTTCGGACGGTCATATGAATTTCTCCATCGTTTGGGGGTCGTACGTCTATTCTGGACCAGTTGTCAAATTAATCGTTGATTAATTGTAGTATAAAGAGATATTTTGGGATTTCAGTAAAGTTTTCATCCTGCAAGTCGATTCGAGTGTATACTGAAAAGCTGATGAGCGCTGTACAGCTCCTCTGTCTTTGGAGAATCACCAGTATTGGACATATTACGGATTTGTGAATACGTAAACTTGTGGCTTCCAAACTCTTAGTTGACGGCTATTCCGCTCTGCCACGGGTTTGATTAACTTAAACTTGGACAGGATATAGCGCCATTCATCTTTCAGTTGTACAGTTCCCATCGCGTTGTCACGTGCTGACTGGTGATTCCGAACAAGGATGAGACAGCTGCTTCTAGGCTTTTCAACGTAGGTTTACTTCCTTTGTACGATGAAATCTCTTTCACGTCCCAAAGTATTCTCATACTTCCATCACACTGTAAGTAAGCAAAACGTCTCACGAGCTCTTTGAGTCTTCCATCTGAGAAGTCATCACTCGATGAGCCCGTCAACACGTAATCACGTCATTTTCACTCCTTTTGTTGGAGTAATGTATTTGAACAACGGACACATGTCGAAACAAGGTATGAAAAAATGTCTCTCTGCAGTCTAATAAGCTAAATCAAAAAGCTTGTTTAACCCTGAAGGTAGGATGTGATTTTAGGACATCAGATCAAACACTGAGTCTAACAAACCTCATCAACATTGAGTCGTTTTGTGGGGAAGATATACTCATCTCCTAGTTAGGTCGTTGTGTTTAACAAGTTCATTGTGACAGTCATTTCTCCTTTCCCCTAAATCGATCGTTCTCTTTCAGTGGAAGCCTGCCAATCCTGCTACAAGGTGAAACGTCGGTCGGTAAGACCTCACTTATCACCTATTTGGCTGAGCGCATTGGCCAGGTGTGCTACCGGATCAATAATCACGAGCACACTGAACAGCAGACCTACCTGGGCACGTACACAGTTGCATCAGCTACTGCACAAGCAAACATGACAGGCCAGGTGAAAGACGGCACACCGCCTCCTCTGGTGTTTCAGCATGGTCCTTTGGTACAGGCCATGCGTCTGGGCCACTGGATCATATTGGATGAATTGAATTTGGCACCAACTGAAATTTTGGAGGCGCTAAACCGGGTTAGTGTGTATCTTTACTTCCTCCATCCGCTTTAACAGGTGCTTTGTGCTTCGTTTTTATTGAAGCGAGTGACACATTGCATGCATCCCATGGTCTCGCTCCCCTATTCTTCTACGTAAACGGTAGTCTTTAGTGAGAATTTACACATGGCTATGGAATCCCCGCAGACACTCACCAACAGTTCTCATTCATCCTGTTTGGAGTTTCGGAGAGAAATATGCCGTTGTCGCTCATTAGCCACTATGGTATCTCTATATCGAAATAATTCATCCAATGAGCGGTTGCCATTTGACAGCTATGGTGCCCCGAGAGGAATGATCGCAACGGTCCAAAGTTGGAAATCATTCGCATGTTTCGGTTACCAGGGGGAGCAGCTCTGGTATGTAGTAATTTACTGTTTTTGTCTTGAATTTTATACCATATTCTATCCCATCAGGCAATAAAATCAACATGCTTTCCCTGTCAAGCCTGGACGGTGTTTGGCTTCCATTAATAAAATCAACATACTTTCCATGTCAAGCCTGGACGGTGTTTGGCTTCCATACGTCCTGATTCAAAGGTTGATATTTCGGGTGTCGGAGGCTAGAGAGGCCCAAGGAGACAACGTTTCTCGCATATTAACCAGTTGGACGGTAGCAGTTGGTTACCACACTAATCAGACTTGCCGCATTCACTTGTCCCAGACACCATGTTCCTCCTGGTTTGTGAATAAATCTAGAGATGGTGGACAATAGTTTCACTACTCATGGCGATATCAAGTAATAGAGGCCTTTGATAGTTCTTGCACTGCTAGCTCAAGAAAACAAAATTGACTGTTTCGTGGGACTTAGGGCGTATTCGTTTGGCCTCCGATTTACTTCGTTTCCATACGCGTGACTGATTTTAGGCACCTACCTTGTACAACCACTCGAGCCCATCTAAAAGTAGCACACGGATGACTACCTCTGCTACTTGGGAGTTAGTAGCGGGCTTCGAAGACCGAACTTATCGATTTCGTCATTCAGGATGCGAATGGTGAAGTAGCAATCTGATCAGATATTACAGGCATTATATGGTAGCCAAGACAACTTAAAACCGTTTGCACACTGTTCACATCTGCAAGGTTATCTTGATGTTTGGTTAAGTACCACCTATCTGATGATGTGTTTCCATTTTTTTCGTCGTAGGTACTCGATGACAACCGCACATTGTTCATTCCGGACACGCAAGAAGTTATTCGGGCTCACCCTCAATTCCGATTATTTGCAACGCAAAATCCGCCTGGTCTGTACGCTGGTCGTAAAGTGAGTCCAGTGGGCCTAATTTCTTTCCTCGATGAGGGAGGTACCACTGAAGAGTCCACATAGATCAGCACAGCAGACTGTGTCGGACGCTCTCTTCGATGTAACCGTTTATCATCTTTCATTTTTGCTGTTGTGTTACTGGAATACTGTGAAGAACCGTGAAGAACCCATTAATGACATCTGATTAGAGCCATTTTGTAGATGTGTTACATAAGTAACAAGTGGACCTCGGATTCCGAGCGGACATGCACCGCACTAATTCGTTTAGTTCAGACAGAGTAACTTACGATAAATCAATCTTTTATGCTATTGGAGATATTATATGGTTACTATTAAATTGCGCTCCTCATCTGTAGGTGCTGTCCCGAGCTCTGCGAAATCGATTCATCGAACTTCACTTTGACCCGATTCCACGTGGAGAATTGGAGGTGATTTTGGAAAAACGATGTGCCTTACCACAAAGTCGTGCTCATCGCCTCGTGGAAGTGATGCACCGCTTACAGGTTCGTTTTGTCAGTATCATCATTGTCGTCGCCATCTATTGTTCCCATCTTTTCAGGTTGATCCACATGTACTGAGACGGTGGAAACAGGTTCTCATTGTTTAGAATCCTTAACGTACAGGATTCTCACCTGTTCCACTAGTTGGACTACTTCATTCAGTTTTTCTCTCTAAAATTCATACTTAGCCGGAGAGATAGTTGATTCGCTCATCCTTCATCTCTGCTATTGTGCTTTCAATATTTTCAAATCGAAGTAACCGAGCCTCATTGTCACCAAACTAAACTATCATGCCAAGTAACGTTAATGCAACCTGCGCCCTGCCTACATTGATTGTGGCTCATGATTATGCCTCATCGTTAGCCGTCCGTGTTCATTCTGTTTAGAAAGACGACCCCTTGCCACAGTGAGGATACAACTTTTTTGTTGCTGTTCTAAAAGACTGGTTGGATTCCAATCTTTTTTCCTTCGGACCATACAAACTGATTCTTACATGCTTGTTTGTTAGCTCGCCAGATGTCAGTCGAATGTCTTTTTGGGCAAAGACAGCTTCATCACACTCCGTGATTTATTCCGTTGGGCGGAACGCTATCGTCTGGCAACCTGTGATCTGGCGGATCCAGAAAATGACTCAGAAAAGCGTTTGACTTTCTTCGATTGGGATGCATACCTCGCAGAGCAAGGATATCTGCTCCTTTCTGGTCGTGTAAGAAACGCCGAGGAAACCCGTGTGGTTGCGGAGGCATTGGAAACTGTCTTCAAGCGACCGATATCCGAGGCGAAGTAAGCTGCCCCCCCCCCTCCACCGACCAAGATTTTGCTTGAAAAAGAGTTAATTAGCGTATAGTCACATCATAAATCACATCAATTGTTTTTCGATAATAGTTGCCACTCGGCGCTGAGTTCTGTTAATTTCTCGCCAATATCATGTTGTGCCAGTTAAATTGTCCCATGTATTTGCCCTCAAATCTCTAGACTATTTGATCTCTCTGAAGAAACCTCCTCAGTGTCGAAGGAGTTTCTTCAGCCCCTTCTGTCGGAGAGTGACGTTCGGCCTGCTGGATTTGAGCACGTCGTATGGACCAGGGATATGCGGCGTATGTTGGTTTTGGTTGGGAATGCACTCAAGTATAAGGAGCCTATTCTACTTGTTGGGGAGACTAGGTGAGTTGTTCGCTGTGTTTCGGACTCGTGTTACTAATAGTTTATCGCAAAATATGATTTTATCACCTTCACCCTCTTGAATTTGTTTGCAACAGCTGCGGAAAGACAACCGTCTGTCAGTTGTTTGCTGCCCTCAAACACCAGAAGTTGCATTGCGTCAATTGCCATCAGTATACCGAAGCCAGTGACTTCCTTGGTGGTCTACGTCCCATTCGACGCGTTTCTTCCCAAGACGGAGCAGAAGTAGGTCTAGTCACGTGTATACAGTTATCTGTACTCCACTGTCCAATTTTGATTATGAAACCACCGCTTGTATAACCCCATATTTGGGTTGTCCAGATCACTTTGGTGAACAGGTTCCTGCTCACCACAAATGCATGCATTCCTGGCTCTAGGATACATCGACTCGTATACCTTATCTCCTCAATCAGGTTGACGATGGCCGTCTCTTTGAATGGGTCGATGGTCCTCTGGTGGTTGCGATGTCACGCGGAGAGATGTTTCTGTTGGACGAAATATCTCTGGCTGATGATGCTGTTCTCGAGCGTCTCAACAGCCTACTCGAACCGGAACGACGTCTGAACTTGGCTGAACGATCAGAAGGTGCTGGTTCCATTGGAGTGTTGGAAACTAACGACTTGACTGCGCACATCGGATTTCGCCTTGTTGCTACCATGAATCCGGGTGGGGATTATGGTAAGAAGGAACTCTCACCTGCATTGAGAAATCGATTCACAGAGATTTGGTGCCCAACACCGGCTTTTACGAGTCCGAACCTCGAGGCTTTTCCTACATCCTCCTCAGACTTACAACTGATTGTGGTGCATAACTTGAAGCTGCATCTCCCTTCGCTCAGAACCAGTCCTGATTTGGCACAGCGGCTTTCGTATGCAATGGTAGACTTCGCTTCGTGGTTTTCTTGGGCACTTCACGACGATACAACAGCCAATCACTTGGTTTCTACTCGGAAGTGAGTTTTGCCATTGTAGCCTAGCTTTGATTTCAGCACAATTTTCTTCAATAGGGCTCATCTACTACTAAGTCTGTCAAGCAGATGAGCTATTCCATGAGTATCTAATATGCCTGTTGAATCACGGTGACCATTTCACACTTATAGTCGTTGTGCGTGCAGCTGAAGCATGGATTGCTGATGTTGGACAACGCAAACAGTGAGCAAGACGAAGGGGTCATTAATGCCACTGATAGATTTCAACTGCTAGTCCGTTGGGCACAGGTACTTTGAAGTTCTGTGCATAGGCATAACAAATTGTCGTCAGTAGTTCATTCTGTAGAAAACTAAGTCGGTAACGGGGAGGTTAGCAACTGGAGTTTGTCTCCATATTTTCCGTTCAAGTAATTTAAAACTGAACTTCTACTGCAAGAGCAACAAAAGCACTAACGAATCAGGCATATATTGGCGGTCTGAACTCTGATGACAGCGCAGTAAAATACATATCTAGAGATTTTCGGTGCGGAGCTTTTCCTGGCTCCTTACTTGACGATCGAAAAATTCGGTAAACTTGCGCGCGGTGATTGTTGTGGGACCCGTCGACTTGCATTCTCAACCTTGCTGGCTGTATGAATTTTAGGGTATTCAATTCACGGTCGTTGTTGACTCAACCCGGTCCCTACATGAAAACACCGCGTTTTGTCACCATCAATACTACTACTAACTTCGTTAGCCGTCCTCATTTGGCTTCATCGCCTTATCGAAAGATCTCTAATCGATCGTGACATAAGTAGTTGTCGCTCCCACATTCCGCTTCATCCTTGCTTTAGATGTATAAGTTGTTCGGTGGTTTTGTGCTTCTTGATGTGTATCGACCGGAAGGAGAGGTCCCTGAACCTCTTTTGCGTGACACCTGCTCCTGATTATTTTCTCCATTCTTTTTTATGTCTGCTCTTCAACGACTTCGTGTGGACATACGTTTCGCATGAATGTTACTTTTGGTGTCCCTTCGCGTTTTAAGTGATACCTGTAACCAGCGGACCCTGAATTTTGAAGCCTGCTCTGTAAAAGTGATAATCAGAGACAGCAAAACACGTTGAGGAGAAATGGGGACGGTTGGCTAGTCTTTTTCAGCGTCTGCCTGGAGAAAAACCAGCAATCCAATCTATGGGCTTGGGGTGGCGAACTAGATAAGATTTGTATAGACTGATCGTTGTTGCCCCCCGCTTGACCTATTCCCCAGCTATCTATCAACTAGTCCAACAGTCTCAAATTATGCTTATCTCCAACGGCCAAACTCCTGTAGTTCGAGTGGAATGTACAGTGATCCACTGGAGACCGTGTTGCTGCTTATCCCCACTGCCACATTACAACGTTAACCTTGCAGACTGTGCCGTGTACAGTTTTTTGTCCTGTTCTTCATACTTGAACGTCTGTTGTGCACGGTGCTGTGTGTCCTCTATTTTCATCATCCTCCTTCTAGATCTCCACCTACCATTCGTGACCTTTTGGCATGGATTCAGTTCATGGAGTCTGTGTGTTCTCGATCCCCCAATCCTGCCTCCACGCCCCCTGGAATGTCATCGTCAATAGACCTGCTAAGTGCCTGTCTCCATGGGGCTTGTTTGGTCTTTCTTGATGCGGTGGACTGTAAACCCATTGGTGGGTGCACTGACCTTGTTACGTTGCGTTTCTCGCACACATTGTATAATTTTGCCTCTCCATACAACTGTTTTAATCTGTTCACTAATAAATCAGGCTTAGTTAGTGCTTTCCTGAGTCCGAAGCACACTTGTCATATTTTCTCCGCATCATTCTGCCGTACTGTACCGTATTTGGAATGTACGATTCTCTTTTACGCTTTTGAGTCAACCGTGTTCGAGGCAGTAGCTTTTCGGTGCTGCTCTTCGAGCTTCTGGTATGTGATAGCTGGCAACACAACAGAATTCCTATATTGCGGCACTACTCATAAGTTAACAAACAACTCTGAACAGATCACTACTGGTTTCGCCTTTCTTGGGACTCATTGGATGGGCGCGTTCCTCGCACCCGAATACCAGATAATACATATGCTGTAGTGAACAGTCCTTCACAAAGTAACAACCTTTGTGTAGCCTTTTTTGAACAGTTTCAGGTGAACTTTGACTCTTTTTGTCCTTAGATTCGTTAGCGTTCATATTGCACTTTTTCGGTTATCCATTTTCTTTTTCTTGATGATGAAATTGCTCGTGCCTCATAGGCAGGTTTGCTGTAGAACTCAGTGTTTTTGGTTTCTTTTTTGTTTGCTAATTCAACCGTACAGAGACGCAGCTGTTTACAGTATATGGTGATTATTTTCGAAGTGTAGACATCACAGGAAATGGGATTTTGGGCATCTCTCTTGGTGGAGAGTTTTCTTATCACATCTGTCTTGTGGTTTGACTATTTCTTCTCGAAAGCATCCTCTTTTCTGACAAATTCCTACGCGCACGATCTCTTCTAGTTTCGATAGCTTTTCAATAAGCTTCTTAGTACACCGTACCCTTTGCGAAGCACGTAACGCTTGTTTGCTTTGCGTTTCGGCTCAATGGAGCCTAGTCATCAATGCGCGGGCTGAACATATTCCAGGATTCCCATCCTGCAGATTGCGTGGCAGCTGTGCACCGAAGAGCTACTATAACTGGCTAATTTTGTTCTTCAACCGTCGGTGCTCGTCTTTGTTGTTGAGGCTAGCGGATTTCTTCTATTCAAAATAAGTATTTTCGGGGACATAAGAAGATAAAACTGCATTGTCCCTTTTGTTCTCAACCGTCGGTGCTCGTCTTTGTTGTTGAGGCTAGCGGATTTCTTCTATTCAAAATAAGTATTTTCGGGGACATAAGAAGATAAAACTGCATTGTCCCTGTGGCACTTAACGTTCAATTGGATACTCGCTACTATTTGTTGTAAGGGATATGAACTATAGACACAGTGGGTACCGTTCCCATGGTTTGTTGGGGGTCAACAAGGTGCCCACAGCACGAAACGAGTCGACTTTAGTCGGCAGCTTTCATGTTTTTTTCTTGATAGTGGTTGCATTCCTAGTAGACGTGCTTACCTCATCAATGGGACGACTGTACAAGTGGAACGGGTTAGTACGAAATCTTACCAGTTCGTCTTGAGCGGCATTGGTCAGTAGTACAGCATTTTTATCGTGTCTGTTCACTGTATGATTAGGTTCCTGACAGATCCGTTTTTGATAACTAGCAACTGTTGTCGCTTCGGAGAAGTTCTTGGCTCCTTACCCGCGGAGTATGCGTTTCAGCCAGTGTAGGATGCCTCAAACTGGTAACTTGGAGACTGATTATTTCATACTAGGCGGTTCTTATTCTTGGACCTGAAAGTGGATGACGCCATTTGTTATTTTCGCAATCCTTCAACACTCAGCGGAATTAACAACGACTCTTACATGCCCTCTCGCAGGCATTCTCGAAAACCCCAGCTTGGCCGCTCAGGGTGTGAAATTCCTCCGAGAACGTCTTGAATCGATCGCATCGGAACACGGTTTAGCGGTAGAAAATTTGTTCGTCGCCGTGAACTATACATGTGCTGGAGATAGCAATGTGGATGGAGACTTTAGCTTCACCTCGGATGGACGTATGTTCGGTGCTGATCCGTTCTACATTGATACGGGTAGGTCACCGTTTCATCCCTTCCGCCCTTTGTGATCCCGGCATTTTACTGAATCTTGGGGGTTATTTGTCGCTTCGGACGCTTTTTACAGGCACCTATTTATCATGTTTCGTAGTGGTCATACTCGCTTGTAATAGAACAGCGAGAACATACGGTTGTGTCCACTGCGCTGGTTATAATTGTATGCATTATTTTCCCCGATGTTTGTCTCCAGTCGGTGTTCGTTCCTTTCCCTTTTTTTACGTCAGGGCCTCGAAGTCCACAAGAAACACCTAGACGTTTAACAAGTATTGTCTCCCTCTGTTTGAGAATTCTACTATAGACCAATTGATTGTCATTCAGCATGCTCCCCATCCGTCCAAATGTCGATTACCTGCCCCTCCTGACACTGCTTTATTCAATTCTGTTCGTGGCATATTTTCTGTGCTCAGCTACTATCCACAACGTCTGTACCCAGATCACTGTGCACCTTTTCAGGTCCATCTTCGGACCCCAGTCTAGCGTTCAATAGTCGCTTCAACTTCTCGGCGCCTACACCAGCTGTAAATTTGCGTCGTCTCCTGCGTGCACTCCAAGTCCCCAAACGTGCTCTCCTTTTGGAAGGCAGTCCCGGTGTCGGGAAGACATCACTGGTATTAGCCTTAGCGAAGGCAACAGGACACGAGGTTGTACGGATAAACCTTTCTGAGGCTACAGTAAGTTCATTGTTTTTACTTGTGTCGCTTGTTTTCTCTAATTTTGGAACAGTGGTCTGTTTTCCCTTGCACATTCTTCTGTTTTTTTTTATCAGGAAGCCAGTGATCTACTAGGTTGTGATCTGCCAGTTGAAGGTGCTGCCCCAGGTGTTTTTGCTTGGCGCGACGGTCCGCTTCTCCAGGGTTTGCGCGAAGGCCGATGGATCGTTCTGGATGAGGTAGGCCTATCGCTTTGATCCTTATTTCGTGCCATTCATTTACTTGTCAAAATGTTTGCAACTTTTGTACTTTTTTGTGTGCTTCAGATGAATTTAGCTTCACAATCTGTTCTCGAGTGCTTGAACGCCTGCTTGGATCATCGCGGTGAACTGTATATACCCGAGCTGGGGGCGACGTTTAAAATACAGCCAGGTGTCACGCGGCTGTTCGCCTGTCAGAATCCAGTCCGCGAGGGCGGTGGTCGCAAAGGACTGCCCAAGTCATTTCTCAACAGATTCACTCAGGTCAGATGCTTTGACTTGTTTTTACTTACCCGGTTCTCTATCTGAATCTCGGACGCACATCCATCGTGCGACTCGTTCCTCTGGCACACTTTTTCATACTGTTCTTCCCCCACTATCTATGAGGTTGTAAAAAGCATTTACTTTAAACCATTGCTGAAGTCTTTCTAACACTAGTTTATCATATAATACACGTGATTCCGATGGAAGCGCGGTGTCACTGCTCCGCATTTACCGCATATTATCACAAAATCACTTTCCTTTTGCTCTTCTTTGTTTCCTTGTTTAGGTCTTTTTACAACCGTTGACCACAGCGGACCAGGAATTCATCATGCAACAACTCTACCCACGTTTGCCGGCCCCAGTTATTCAATTAATGGTCCATTTCAACTGGAAAGTGAGCTATCTTCCTTATTATATGCAGCGACTCAAACACAATTGCGTTCCCTCCAAGAAAAAGCTTTCTGAAGAGAAGCCTCCATAGATCCCCCTCATGTATGCTATGAGATGAGGCCTCTATTAAGAGTATGTGCCCCTCCAGGAGGGATCGAGTACAGTACCAGGAGAAATACCATCGTGGTACGGTTTCGGGTCACGGAACATTGCGATCACTCGCGAGGAGACAGTCTCAATCGAAAACGAGACACCTGGTTTCCGGAATAACTGTTTACGCCAGAAGACTATACACCACAATAGAAGCACACCTGTGTTTGAACTCAGGTGACTTATTGACCATTACTCTTGAGAGCGTACCATAAGCAAGGCTGGTACACTAATCTGCCAAGTTACTGAGCCCTTTTTTTACTTCACCTGGCCCGGGCGACAGCTCGGATCTGAATGGTTGCAGCACCACATACTGAGACGCTTTATTGTTGGAACATCGGGGGATAGCTGCAGAGAATAAGCATTGCACGGCGCACCAATATTTCCGTATTTCACGGCAATCATTATGGTTTTATGAGCTCAAGACAGCTCAGTGATAATGTTGTAAACCTACTGACTGTAATATTCGTGGTTGGAGCCCAACCCCGGAATCTCGACTGCTCTTGACTAGACTTGGTTGACGTGACAGTATCTCATTCCCTCGGGCTTCTTTCGGGTGGAATGATGGCTAGGCACCGAAAGGCGGTTGTGGCTGGAATATCAATATTACTGTTGTTATATTATGATCTTTTGCTATAGTCGCTTAGCTGTAGCACCCTTTCGGTGCATAGCCGCTGTGCCAACCGAAAGAAGCACGAGGGCTGAGGTACTCCCTGGTTGACCAAGCCCAGACAGGGGCAACTGAGAAGCTAGGGTTGCTTTCGAGTCACGACGGATCCTCAGGTCAGAGTTATCTCGAACACGTATTCGCATGTATTCGCAACAACGTATCATGTTTATTGGTTCCTATGTCTCGACCAGATCAAATAGCAAACGGTATTCCACCCTCAGTTCAGAATGGTGATACGTTTCTTGCTAATCACATTTCCAAGAGGGAACACCCCTGTCGATTGAACGATCTGGAATTTCTTGAGGCTGACTACTGTATTTATTCGTTCCCATGCGTTTTGGGGTTGGTGGGCTGCTGTACACAATTTCATTCCTTGCTCGCTAACTCGTAAACTATGCTTGTTCTAAATGTATCACTTATCCTGGGGGTAATTCACAACTAGACTTAGTTTGTATGCACAACACGCCTTTTATCCCTTCAAATATAGCCCAGCCGATGTTTTTGTCAACAACCTTTCTACTGGACGTCACAGCATCCTTGAGTCTAGTTTTTGCTATCTGATTTCAGCGTCGACTTATATGTATAGGGTGACTATTGCATAGAATTACGAAGTAGTGATTGACTGTTAACTATTGTGATGTTTTGCATGAGATGGCTTAATGGTCAGAACGCGAATTCGATGACCGGAAGGTTCGTGGTTCGAACCCAACCTCTGCCTCTCCGACCTTCCTGTCCAGGCTTGGGAAACCTGGAAGTACCTCAGCGAGCGTGTTTCCTTTGGGTAGCATGGCTGCTAGGTTACACCTGAACGATTATTATCTGTTTGTGTGCACTCAACAAACCGGTCTCACGATAGCAGACATGGTTTCTTCTGTAAGACTCCTCGTGACATATAGACGGAGTTCTACCACCTAATAATACTCTTGTTTTCTTTTCAGCTCGCTGACGAAGTGAATGTTGGTCGTGAGTTCGGAACGCAAGGTGGTCCGTGGGAATTTAATCTTCGCGACCTGATGCGGTGGGCTGAGTTGATTCTGAAGGGCGAGGTAAGCTACACCCGCCTAAGTAGCTGTTAGGATCGCGCGTCTGCTTTTCACTCTTTTCAAGCACTTCATCTCAGATAGTACTGTGTGGCTGATTGTTTCTGGTTTGAGCAACGACTGTCAAAAATGCGAAATAAGCCATACCCACAACTTCAACACTCCAGTAAACACTGGTTATCGTCGATTTCATTGATACCAGGAAAGTCATACCAGCAGAAAACGACTGATAACGCGTGCCGAATAACGAGGAGCCTGGAGGCTGAAGGAGAACGTTGGTGGGTTGCATTCACATCCTGTTCCACCTATTTCGAGTGGTAGTGAAACAATCTCCGGAAAGTAGATTGTTGTCTTGAACATTTTAAGGACGTCAGTTCGCCTTTGACAACGGAACTCCCGATCCAGACAATTTTCATCTTGCATTCTTAAAACAGGTTGGCAACTCCCCGATTTTACTCCGAATAATCTACAGCAAAGACAGAATACCGGTAGAATAGAGCTCTTGGACGATAATTCCCATATTCAAAAAGGTGCATAAAGATCGTTGGAAGCCAGGCATCAGTCTACTGGCCATCGCTCTCAGTGTCCCACCTGGTGTTGTATGAAGGTTGATCCATCAGAAGGAGTTTAAGTTTTGCGAGAAATGAGCTGGGTCTCTACCTGGCTAGCGTTGCATCGATTTTATCCACCTCGCGACAAGTACTGGGATTGCGCCACTTTTTTTCGTTGTCTTTTTTTTTAATCTGGAAGCTCCTTTAGGCTCTGTTGATCGTCAGAAACCATAGGAGTGTTCTGGCGATGCAGGGTGTCCTTTCCAAATTCTTGTAACCTATGACGTTTTGTAAACCTCCTCTGTTTTCAGTAAATTTCCCCGAGTTCACCAGATCCACTGTTGTCAGGCAAGGTGACTTTTCCACCTTAACTTTCTAATGGATGCGCCGTCTGGGTTTTCCGTACCTACGTCTAACATTTCGAGGAATGGAGTACTCACGGCGACGTTAGTGCTCTTCCCAGATCAGACCTAGATCAAACTAAATAATTCTTTTACACATTTCGGTATGCGCCTCGCACCCGTAAAGTGTTAAGCGCTGCTGCCAGGTTGGCTGGCATAGCACTCAACGTCATGCTTGCAGATGAACCGATCGATGTGGTAAATAAGTTTTTCCCTATGAGCGGCTGTATAGTTTCCGGAGGCCTGGCGAAAGAGGAGATTATTTTCCGAATCGGGAAGGCGTTTGCTTATCATCGACATTTATGGCACCGACGTGGCTGGTTTCTGGAGTGGAATCTACATTGTTACTGTTCGCCGCAGGTAGATGTTCGAAAAGCCTCCGTGTTTGGTCATCTTTGGCTCCGAAGTGTTGCGCGGATCCTGTGGGAAATGTATGGATGCCCCAGATGGTTTTCACAAAAGGCAACTCTCTCTATTGATCGACTTTTCACACTTGACACTTTACGCTGGTTAGGCTCTGTACTCATTATGTGAATGGGTCATTTAATACGCACACTAGTCGTCTCCCCTCAGCCATGTATCAGATGGAGATGACCCAGAGTAGTCGTGCGAGTACTTACCAGTCAACGCAGTCGCACCGGTAACTACCGTACCCCCGGATGTGGACCCCGGGACCAGACAAACCATTCGTTAGTGATTCTGGCAGGCAGCCAATAGTGATCCTGCATCAGACCTATAGCTTTGATTGCCTAGCTATCAATCCATGGTGTAGCGGTCCATTCAACGTCACTGAACTGGTTGGACTATCGTCTCAATTCCTGGCAATCATCCCCTTATTCTCCTTATCACCGGTGAACGTAGCTGTAGCGGCTGGAACTGTTGTACTTTGGTACACAGATTGCAGCTTAAAAACTGAAGTGACGTCCTGGCACCTCAACCTGAGCACTTTCGTTACCACTCTCAGTTATCTTGGTCTGTTGGTGTTGGCCTTAGAAGATGAGTCATCTCTGACCCTCCACTGGTTCGCTCACGTTCGTATTGCAAAGTTAGATTTTTAGGTTATGTTCATCTTCATTCACCATCCTGATCAGTACACATTGCTTTACGCCTGCACAAGCCCTCTATTCCAACTACTATTTCCTTGTCTGGATCTCCGTAGAGCCGTAGCGTATTTGTAATCCTCCGATTCAACCTTGTACTTATGTTCGGATGTCTTCATGTCGTTCCAGGAGTTCGAAGGAAGTAATCCGGGTCTTTCTGTGCATTATGTATACACCGACCGAATGCGCACGGAGGCAGATAAACGCAAGGTGAGGTTTATAAAATTTTATTTATTCTTTGTGTATGGCTTCCTCGCAGCTTATCACTCGCCTTAACCGTAGTTTTCAAGTTTTACTGTGGTACTTTATATTATTTCGATTACGGCTGATGAAAGTTGGACAGTTTGTTGGCGTAGCTGCCCAGGCGACAGGCAGCACTTGTTTTCATGTATTCCCTTAATTTTTGGGGCAAGATGGCTCAGTGGTTTGAACGTGAATTCACTGACCGGAAGGTCCGTGGTTCGAACCCAACCTCTGCCTCTCTCTCGACTTCCCCTGTCTAGGCTTGGNGGCAGTATCCCAGCCCTCGTGCTTCCTCCGGGTGGCATGGCAGCTAGGCATCGAAAGGGTTTTACAGTTGAACGCCCCACCCCCTAATTTTCTTTTGTCGGTAGTTATACAGGGACCATCTAACTTGCGTAGTCGTTTGATGGGCAGTCCAGGCATTCTGTTTCTATAAGCACGGGGCTTATTGAGGCGTTGACTTCTTTGCGTAAGCTTTGCTTGTTGACTTCAATCGGCGGGTACTTTGTCCGGCTAACACTACACTCGTACTTGGGTCCCACTACGTTACCAGACGCTAAGTCCTGGCTTATTTGGGCTTTTCATTCAGGCTTTTTGGAAGATTTCACACAACATAGTAGTCAATACGGGTTCTTCCGCAGAGGCTACAAGCTTTGTCTTTCTAGCGCTTTTTTGGGACATACAAATGAACACCTTCGAAGAGTCAAGGATAATCAACTGCCATGCCACCCAAAGGAAGCACGAGGGTTGGGATACTGCCAGGTTGCCCAAACCCAGACAGGGGAAGTCGAGAGGATGAGCTCGGGTTCGAACCACGGACGGTCCGATCAGTAAATTCGCGCTCCAACCATTTGAGCCATCTCGCCACTCCAACACGCTACTCTTTATTTCCTATCAACCTACCATATACTGGTGGGGTTGCCTGATTAGAGATTCCTTCTTGTGTTTATTCTCTGTAGCTGATCGAGTTAGCTCAGTGGTTAAAGCACCAACTGACTGACCGGAATGTCCATGGTTAAGTTCGAACTCAGTACCTCGACAGCGCCTGTCTGGGCTTCGCTAACCAGGTGATGCCTCAGCACATGTGCTTCCCTGGAGTGGGGCGAGATGGACCAAGTGGTTGGAGCGCGAATTTACTGATCGGAAGGTCCGTGGTTCGAACCCGACCTCTGTCTCTCGACTTCCCCTGTCTAGGCTTGGGCAACCTGGCAGTATCCCGGCCCCCGTAGCATGGCAGCTAGGCACCGAAAGGGTGCCACAGCTGAACGATTCCCCCTTCCTTGGAGTGGCATACTAGCTAAGCACCGGGATCGTGTTACAGCTGAACGGCTTTTTGGTTTTGTTTATTCCCTGTTGACTTTCATCCCATCTGCCATCCATCCAATGATAGTGCAATAAATCCTATCCCAATAAATCCTATCCAACCTTTTTATTTTAACAGCTTTATTCTGCACTTACTTACAGGTAGTCCCCTACTTTTTGTAACTTTTGTGTCACATCTCTGACTACCATCGTTGGCTTTTTCTTGTAGGTCGCCGAACTATGGAACTCGGTATGCCGTGAGCGAGGTGCCACAGATATGGTGTACTATAAGCCACTGGGTCGCATTTCTATTGTCAACAACACTTTACGCATCGGTAACGCTGGTTTCGATACTGTACCCACGGTCGATTTTTCTAAATTGCCAAACCTACTCTTCCTCGATCAGCAACGTAGTCAGCTAGAGAGTTTACTCAAGATCCTGGAAATGGGTTGGATGGCAATCTTGGTGGGTCCGCCAGGTTGTGGTAAGTTTTCGATCCCACGGTGCTCAGCCTTGCATTATTGATTGTCTGCTATTTGATCCGTATCTTTTTCCCTGGTTGCTAATCTGCAGGTAGCTACCTAATTAAATTTAGACGATTGTCCTTTCCCGACATGTCTTTGTTTGGTGTAGGTTCCCTGCAGGATTAGCGACACTGGGGACTGAAATGTATCCCAGTGATCAGCGCCAATAAGTAGACACTCACCTTACCAACCTTGTTGGAGCCTTTGTTGCTCTCAACGAAAAACTAATGGCCTTATGAGAGTGACATGAACCGAAAATTCGCTTAATGTGTGACTATGTGATTTGGACATAGCACCCCCTCTTAGAGACTGACTTGTCATCGAACAGACTCTCTCCTCCTCTCTATTTTTGCTTATCACCCTTCTGCCTTGCATTGGCTTCCCTGTCATTTCAGGAAAACGAACGTTGATAAACATTTGTGCCACCCTTGTTGGACAACCCTTGTCCACAATGCATATGTCGCCAACAGCTGACACTGTCGAATTATTGGGGAGCTTAGAGCAACATGAGGCTGGTGGTCATTTTTGTTGGATCGACAGTCCCTTGGTGAAAGGCATGCGTCACGGCCATTGGGTTGTCATTGAAAGCGCCCAGCTGTGCAGGTGAGCTTCCCTTTCTCTTTCTCTCTCTCTCTCTCTCTCTTACCACTTTACAGCTGTTTACCTTCGGATATACGCTGCACTTCCATTCTCATTCATCCTACATAGCCCGTCTGTTCTGGATCGACTGAACAGCGTACTGGAACCCGATGGCGAATTGGTCCTTAGCGAACGTGGTTTAGATTCCAATGGACGACTCATCCGGATGAAACCTCATCCTGATTTCCGTTTAATCCTCATCGTAGACGAAGTCAGCGGACTTGGTGCTGGTTCAACTGGTGTTTCACGTGCGATGCGAAACCGTGGTGTTGAGATCGCCGTATACAAGGACGTAAGTTTCACTGACCGATTGTTTGAACTTTTTTCTGAGAAATTTCGTGTGCTACACATTGTCGTTGACGAGAATGCCGCAGAACAAGTTAGGTGAATGAAACAGTACCACACTGAGTTGTTCATCCTTTTACCAAACCATTCTAAAATGAAACACTGAAACTAGTTACGATTGCAAGGTGAAGATCGCCGGCAGCAGCGAAATGGCTGCTTGAGCTCGAAATGTCTTCCTGAAGAAAGTTATCATTCGGCAACAGAGCTTTTTCATTCAGGTCAGAAGTTATTGGTGTGCACCTGTTACATACCACATACTCTGAATATGAAGACCATCGGTTTGTAACCAGACTTTCTACGTGAATTCTTGAAGGGCTTTTGGATCTGGAATGTGAATTTTTCTTTAACTTTGCTAAATTCGGATGTCTTGTTAGCGATACTCCTCAGTGTCTTCGCAACACGCGTTCATGTTGCTTGAAATCATTCGAGATTTTGTTTCCCAGTGGCAACCAGTAATGATCCATAAAAGTTTCGAGGGTCCTACCAGGTTGGAACCTTACTTTGTTTTGGTAAACGCAAACGGGTTTATATCAGGCTACCGGTCCGACAGCCAACAGGTTGTTCTTGGCAGCTTCGACAACTGGCTCCTGCTACCGTTTTCTTCAGAAACATGCTGGCACATTTTGTGTCGACATTGCGCCGCAGAACTAGCGACCGACTGGTGCTAGTGTACACTGGAATATAAGTCGACGGGAGCCACGGTTTTGTGGCATTTCTCGACTTGTAAGAAGGTCTTCAATACGAGAATGAAGGAAATTTCGTGGTGATTTTATTGCAGTTTCGTCCTTACCGTTTCTGCTTCCATGCCAGCGCGCATCCATATGTACTGTAGCAAAACAAACCTGGGAAGTGGATGGGCATTTCAAGCCAATGTCGGTCAACATCCCAACAATATATGTGGAATACATTTCATTGTAACTGCTCTTCTTTGGTACGCTCGGCACATGTTTACTATGTCCATGCTGAGTTCGTAGAGCGACCGATCACAACCATTGTTTTTGGTCCATAGGTGAGCAACTTGTCCACTTGATATTGCCCGAGCAGCTTCTTCTACTGAACGGTCTCTTGCTAGCCAGCAACGTGTTGGATTAAAGTAGAGCTCAGCCGTAGCCAGCCTGGTACCATCAAACAGTTCAGCCAACAGTGTTGGATCAAACTCTTCTTCAGGATGTCCAAGATTTACGTCCTGCTTGTTCCATTCATTCCACTTTACCCATTGTCTTCGGGGGAGAGTGAAGCCTAAGACCGCTTCACACTTCAATACGTCAACTCGTCTAGATTGTCTTGCTGCATACTCATATCCCATTTCAGCTTTCTATGACAAATGTGGATCTGGATCGTATTCTAACTTCGATGGGAATACGAAATTCCGTGGTCAACGCTCTGACATCATTTCAAGCTTTGTTCTCAACTGCTTGTGGCTTAACCTGCCTGCCAACTGATCATATCAACCTACTGGATGGTCTGCCCGTCACCGCGGGGCTTCTAAAGCGCCCACCTCTTGAGGCATTGTTGTCATGTAGTCAGCTTGCCGAATGTCTGCTACAAAACCCCGAGACAGACGAAGCAGAACCACGACAACTGTTTGTAGATGAGCCGGAGGATGATAATCTTTTTCTCACCTTCGACCTTGAACGTCCGAAGACTGTTTGGTGTTGGGCTTTGAGCCGCGCATTGAATTTCGCTTACTCATCGCGACAGACCCATGCAAAAGCAGCCAGTGTAAGTGTCCTGCTTCCTTCGTTTTTTTTTCATATCAGTAATGTTCGGAACTTTGTGTTGTGTGCGCGGGCTATGTACAAGACCCAGGGCCATGATATCCTAATGGGTTATTCGGTAAAACGATTAGACTGGCGGTGCATCGTTGGGGCTGTTGACTTGTAGAGCCTGACAGTTTCCAAAAAAAATAACCCATCCAATAGTTGCAGATGATTGCAGGATTTATATAATTTGCCTTCATATTACATGTTTTAACAGCCCTCCAGCCCTGGCGTCATCATTCTAGTCGATCCAGACCAGACGGAATCCCTGGACTCGACTTTCACTCATATTAGAGCTCATCAGTAGTGCATGTCGTTGACTCTGCCAGGATTCGAACTCTGGGCGTTTGACAGGAGAGAGGAGTGTATTATCAATAGTCCACCGGCGGAAGATGATCACACTGGTATTACCAAAGCGTCCATCATATGTCAACCTCTAAAGGTTCATGCTATCTTTTCAACCATTTTCGACCGCCTTTCCCTAATAAACCCTACCTGTTCGATGGGCTTGGAAATTTCTGTTCTTCTCTCTCTTGCTTCCCCGTCACTAATATGCCAGTTTCATAATGTGACTTCGTAAAGGCATAATTGATAGGGAGTATCCTGTTCCAGTTCCCAGGTGTATATCATTGTCCCTTCCGTATTTCAGGTTGTCCGAACACTCATCAATCGATTCCTATCAGTTGTGTCGGATGAGATCTCACTGGAATCTATGTACCACCATTCAGGTGTTGTTGGTCCACGCTATCTCTTGCACAGTTTACGTCAATTGATTTCTTGTGGAAACCCTGTTGAGTATCGCCAAAATCATATCCATGTGGTCGCTTTGGCCATCTCATCGACTCAGTCATCCCCACCTCCACCTCACTTGATCCGTCGCGTGTTACTCGAGCAAGCTAACTCAGCGGATTTGGGCGGGCTGCCGGGTCACGTAAAGGCCGTATTCGGCCACGTATGTCTGACACCCGATCTTTCAGATTATTCTTCTCAAGCCACGGCAGATCCTTGGGAACTGTGGCCAGACCTTCGTTGGGCTCCCGGCTGGCGGCATTTGACGAACTCCTTGGGTGGACCTGTGTTGGAATGGGATAGGTAAGTGGCATATCTGTGGGTTTCGAAAATCCCCAAAACTTGTTGTACTTTCTTCCGAAATCTAAGCTTGCTAGTTAAGTACTATCACCCAAGGTATTTGTACTCTGAATGCTACTAAGTCCCCACGTCAGTTCTCTTAGGTTTTCTTTGGCTTCCTTGTGTCGATACCCCTAAATGAAATGCTGTGCAGAAGGCAACGGAAACTTCACATGTGGTTCAGCTGAGTAAATCTGACGCGGGCTAAAATCCTTGCTGACTTAGTTTTCGGAGCACTTGTCTAGAAATCGGGAGGTTTGATTTCACACCCGGATGTTACTTTCCGTTCATGCCATGTGTATTGCGGCCTTGCGTTTCACAGCCCGCGTGCGCCCAGTAAAATTGAATGGGTGAACACCGTTTATCGGGAGAAGGGCTCATGCGGCATCCCGATTGACATCTGTGTTGGACCAATAGATGAAGTGTCTTATCTGTGGAAGGCATTCCGCAGTTATATCTCTCGGTCCACCAATGTCCTACGGTGATATTCATTTGTCTCACCTCAGTCCAGGTGATTCGCGGAAAATAGCCTGGTTTTTCATCACCCAAATGCAACTCTGCTTCTGTATGCCAATTCGCTGTCAGCATTTTCTCAACGCCAATTAACCTTTATAGCTCTCTCATCGCCCTCTATTCCCATTTTACTTCATAGGGTGTTACGCACTCTTTTGGTCGTTGAACTCCTGCAGATGCAGCTGGAGCTCATTCCCCCAAAGTCGTCGACAAATCAAAGCTTTGGGACACTTTCGTCGTTATCCGTTTTGGTTGTGGCCCACAAGTTCAGTGTTGGTCAGATACCGCCTACCTGGCTAGAAAACTATCCCGGTTTGAATGCAATTTTGGACCAATGGACACAATTTTTGCAAGCCTTCGTAGCGGACCGAACTGTGGCATCTCAGGGGACGTCACATGCTTATTGGTTATCGATCATCCAACGGGTGGGTTTAATCTGGACCTGGTTGCATCACTTTGCACTCAAGCCGCTTGGCGATCCACAGGATTGGTCCGATCGGCTGGAATTCCACAATCAACGGGCAAACCTGTCCGCTGTGGGTGTGAATGGCTTTATTCCCATTCTCAGTGCTATTCGCTCGGTCCTCTCTCTTCCTGTCCCGAGAGTCGTTTCTTTCTCAAATTCGGAATTCAGTCCAATGACACTGAATTGTGTTTCTTTTGGGAAGAAAATTGGTGATTTGCTACAACTGCTGCAGTTTGGCGAACTAGAAGAGGAGGATGAGGATGATTCGAATGATGAATCTTTAGCAGATGAAGAAGATCTTGTCCATCAAGAGGGGGTCCGCGACAACCTCTCCTCTAATTTAATGTGCTTGTGGCCTTTGTCGATGCTGAGTATTCTTCATACCATATATCAGATGGCTGAGGTTCAACGCCAGTCCGAGTCATTGCGTGCTTTTGTCCGGTGTCTTTTGCTGAGCATGACCCGTCCACAACTAATGAGTCTACTTTCACTGGCTCAGCCCTGTCACGTTACTTCATCTGTGCAGAAACGTGCAGTCGAACAATCCTTACTGGAGATATCTGAAAAGCAAGCATTTGAACAACTGTGTGCTCGTCTGGATTTAGTTAGCACTGGTCGTTTACTGCCCTATCGTTCATTTGGAACACTGGAACGAGTGAGTTGATAAAGTTGTGAGGTTTTGAGATTTGTTGCTTGGGAATGGCTTCAACTTTGACATTGGTAACATGTTGAGACCACATTGTACCTCATAAATACATCGCTTTAGACCATTTGGCACCTTCAATGGGCCAATTATCATTCCAACTTCGTATTAGCGGTTGATCGAGTTTCATTTTGAGACCGGTTGCTACATCCCAGCTATATTTATCATGTCATTCAAGCACTGACTTGCCCTTGTCTCCTGTCCAGCCATCCCTCATCAATGAGTGGCGATCCCTAGGTCAAGCTACCTTTGCCATCACGTGGCCAGCGTTATCGCGGTACAACATGGGAGCAGAACCGACATATCAAACCCTTTTCGGGTGGTTCAACAGTCAAAAGGCCTACAAGATTGCTCATGTAATGCTGAGTTCGCACGTGCGTTCGCCAAATGACGCGACGTATGCTCCCTGTCGGTCATCCAATGTAAATGATATGTAAGTCTCTGGTGCGTCAGGTTTTTCAAGCGTCTCCACTCATATTTGTTTTAGCCACACGCTTAGGCGAGCGGATTCCCAGGGGATCTGTTCTTCCTTATGCATGTATATATTTTGGGACAAATGTGTACTCTGAATAACCAGTTGGTGATGAAACTACGAAGCAAGGAAATTAGGCATTGAGCCACTCATTTCTATCGATCAACGTGCCGCACCAAGTGCCACACGGCCATATTTCTAATGTGATTTATCGCAAATCCTTTTCGACAAAATATGAGATGTATAGCGCTTGTGAGATAGGGATCGCTGGCCGATCACAAGGCAGCTACACAGAGCTGTCTACACACAGGTCGATGATGCCATTCGCTTGGTTACATTAGTTTGCTTCTCGGACCGCCTGTTTCCAGTAGGTTCTTGAATGTGGGTCACGCAAGCCAACTGGACGTACCTTCTTGTATCATTGCAGGCATTTCATCTGTGAGTTATGTATAGTTTGCCGTAGAACTCGCATTGTCACCATGGTGCTAGATTTGCCTTACTTCGTACCTAATGAGAATAGCTAGGTTTACAATATGTCCGCTACAAATTGTGGGACCTGACCCAGTTTACTTCAGTTCGTCTTGACTGAATAATGGCCTCTCGGAAACTGCATTTCTCAACGCTGGGAGGCGATTGTGGACGGGATTTTTCGGTCTTCCGTCGAACCGGAACGACATCAGCCGATTTTTTTTAGTCTTCCGTCGAACCGGAACGACATCAGCCCATAGTGCTTTTTCTACAGATGGACTTGTTCCACACTCGTTGATACGGCTGCATTAATTGACTTGAAATCACAAATGTTCTTTTTACCACGTACCAATGCGCAAGGAAGCGGTAGCCTGTTTTCAATCTGGCACTAAGTACTTCTGCCTTTGTTCGAATTCGTCGCATTGTCTTTGATTTGGAATCTGGGGAAGCACGTGGTATGCCTTGGTTTGCAGTACAGTCTTTTCGTATGCTAACCCCGAGGATCATCATCATCATCATCGACAGCATGACATCAGTGTTCAACACCGATGCTTCACTGCCCGAGGATAGATCTGGGTGATCCGGTAGTAACTATCTACTGACACCACTTCACCCCTTCTCCTGTTCAGCACATTGTGTGGAGTGTGCAGTAGTGGATGTCAGCAGATACCTATCCTGTTATGCAGCCCATCCTTTTTTTCACCCATGCCTAGTGGTACAGTAGGGGCGAGGTGGCTCAAGTGGTCAGAGCGCGAATTTATTGAGCGGAAGGTCCGTGGTGCGAACCCGACCCATACCTCTCGACTTTCTCTGTCTGGACTTGGGCCACCTGGCAGTATCCCAGCCTTCGTGCTTCCCTTGGGTGGCATGACAGTTAGGCACCGAAAAGGTGTTACAGCTGAACGGTTTTTCTAGTAGTGCAGTGTTATGAATCCGTTTTTCGTTTCCACTTGACAGAACGCTGAACCCGGATTTAACCGACTTGGTGCTAAGAAGCGGACAGCTCTTGCACGCTGTTGACGAAGCACTCGTTACTAAAATCCACTCTCCTGCAATTCACCACGCTCCTATGCATCCTGACTCATCGTTTTCGGAAACTCACCCAGACTTGGATTCTCTGCTCCAATGGATCGTCTCCAAGCTGCAGCCGCGGTTATCCGAAAGTGTCCTCATGGCTTCTGTGTCCCCAAATTGGTCTGAAATCCTTCAGTTATGTGAATGGCTTATTGGTTATTTGTTGAAAATCAAAGATGATCCGTCCAACAATGATCTAATTGGCATCGCTTGGACTCTTTTCGGTTGCCTCTACGTACGATGTGTTTGTCCAGTCGCTCCGCTCGATCCATACATAGTTGCACGAGTTGAAGAGGTCGCAGTGGCCACTGAGGTTTGTTTATGCATTGTCTCACAGTGGTGATGGGTTTTCTTTTTATCCTGGTCGACTGACCTAGCTTACCTTCCATCCCCCTTGCGGATGCTGTGGAGGAATAACTAGTGGTAGGCCGAGATGCTGAGCTAACAGTTCCCCAGGGATTCCTCAAGGCACCCACGTGCTCTTTTCCAAAGGTGCATACCCAATCTGGCTGCGACCATCAACATATGTGAACTGCTGGAAATAGTTGTTCAGTACGTCCCACATCAGGGCGAGATGGACCAAGTGGTTAGAGCGCGAATTTACTGACCGGAAGGTCCGTGGTTCGAACCCGACCTCTGCCTCTCGAATGAGGCTTGGGCGACCTGGCAGTATCCCAGTCCTCCTGTCTCTTTCGTGCGGCATGGTCGCTAGGCACCGAAAGGTGCTACAACTGAACGATATATATATATATAGTGCTGTTTCATTCAGTTGATCAGATTCCTCCGTCCGCAAAGCGTATCGCTATATGGCTACTGTTGATCCTCAGCCATGCTCACTTCTGGCACCAGATTGCTAATGTTTCTTTCTGAATCCTCCCGTGGAACTTGGGCGCAAACTGAGGAACCAGGGACAACAGTCAGAGGAT